AGACTGCCCTCACCCCACTTCAGATGCTAATTGCTAGTAGGTCCCCAGGTTACCCACAACTTCTGTCCCACTTGGTTACAAACTGGAGGTGCCCATGACTTTCCCCAGTCTTGGATTTGACTATTTGCTAGAACAGCTCACAGAACTCAGGGAAACACGTTTACCAGTTTATTATACAATAAAGAATATGATAAAAGGTACAGATGAGCAACAAGATGAAGAAGTACATAGGGTGAGGTCTGGAGGGGTCTCAAGCACAGGAGCTTCTGTCCCGTGGAGTTGGGGTGTGTCACCCTCCCGGTACATGGATGTGTTCACCAACCCAGAAGCTCTCCGAAACCCATACTGTGGGGATTTTATGGAGATTTCATCAGGAAGGCATGATTGATCATTAACTCAATTTCTAGCCCCTGTCTCTTTATCAAAGAATAGGGAATGGGGATGAAAGTTTTAAACCTCTAACCATGGCTGGTCTTTCTGGTCACCAGCCCCCATCCAGGAGCTGACTAAGCATTACCTCACTAGAACAAAAAACACTCCTATCACTCAGGAAACTCCAAAGGATTTAAGAACTCCGCGTCATGAACCGGGGCCAAATACCAAATTAGAACAAAAGATGCTCCCAGCGCTCTTATCACTTAAAAAATTACAAGGGTTTTAGGAGCTGTGTGCCAGGAACTGGGAACAAAAACCAATATATATATTTTCTATTATTTCACAATGACCAAACTGACCCACCTGGGAAGCTTCCTCCTCCACCCCAATCAGGAGGCCCCGTTGTCCCTGGCACCCTCAGAATCTTGTTGCTCTGTCTCTGATACAGGACTTAGAAGTCATCACCACCCACGACATAACTGCCTTTTTGTTTTCAGTTTTCTTGTGTTTTGCACTTCGGCTTAACTAACCTGTAGTGAAGTAGGCAGATCTTAAGTGTACATTTCTGACCAATATACTATACATTTCTGTAATCTGCACCACTATTGGGATACAGAACATTTCAAGAAAATTCCTTCATGCCCCTTCTGTCCACCTTCTGCCCCTACACGTAGAGGCAACGTAATAGTCGTAGAGGAAACTATTATTCTGATTTTTTTTTTTTTAGCTGAGCCATCCTGCCACCTGTTGACAGCTCAGCGGCTGCTCAGCTCGGGCCAGTACTCGAACCACTGTTGCTCAGAGCTCAAACTCTTGAGCGATCTCTTAACCAACTGAGCCACTCGGCCGACCCCTTATTATTCTGATTTTTATCACCATTAATTAGTTTTGCTTATTCCAGAACTTCATATAAGTGGAATGATACAGTCTGAGCTTTTTGTGTGTGGCTCCTTTCACTCAGGATAATGCTTCTGGGATTCATCCGCGGGCTGTGGTACACCAGTAGCTCTTCCTTTGTATTGCTGAGCAGTACTCCATCGCACGATTCGCCACAGTTTGTATCCACTCACCTATGCTGACGGACGTTTAGGTTTTTTTCCAGTTTTGCTCTATTACAAATGTTCTTGCTACAAGCATTCAAGTACTCGTCTTTGTGGCCATCTGGTTTCCTTCCTTTTGGATGGATAGCTAAGAACTGAATTGCTGGGTCATATGTAAAGTGTACGTTTACCTTTTAAAGAAACTGGTAGTTTCCTAAAGGGATTGCACCAATTTACACTCCAATTTACAGCAATGTATGAAAATCCCACTTGCTCCACATCCTCTTGAACACTTGGTATTGTTCATCTTTTTCATGTTAGCCCTTCTGTGTGTAGTGGTGTCTCATCCTGGTTCTCATTTGCTTTTTACTGACGACTAACCATATAGAGCATCTTTTCATGTGTTCATTGGCCATTTAGATATCCTTTTTTGTGCGCACGTGCATAACTGTATCTTAATGCCCACAGGTTAGTGACTGGACACTGGAATGGTATGGCCCAAAATACTCATCACCTTCACAGCCATACGGGCCAGCAGAAAATAGCCGGTTAGGCAGAAATACGGTCTCTTTTGGCCTTCCAAATCTCATATGAGGGCCTCCAATTAGCAGAGCTGAATCCACATCCAGAAGCCCATCTCAGGGGCATCTGGGGAACAGAGTGTTAGCTTTTTCATCTCTACCCCATGGGAAGATGGAATGAGGGGTGAATGACGCAGAGTGCCCCTCCCCTAATCATCCACACAGTGGGCCAGCACTGCCCTTGATCTGCCTTGGAGGCTGTCAGCTATTCTCCTGAGCTAGTGAACCCTCAAGTCCAGGCGGTGCTCCAGTGGCGGCACATGAGATGGTTTTAGGCCCCAAATAATATTAAGTGACATTGAATTCCATCACAAGAGAGTAAATCACTTTTTGAATATCTTTTAATTCATCAAATGATACGAGGGAGGGAGGCCCTGTGTAATAAAGAATTAACCTTATCCAAAGAGAAGTCTGGCTTTTGCCCTCAGCTCCTGAAAGGTAAGCCCCTGGAATGTCCTGCCTCAAAAGAGTGCCTTTGTTTACCTGGGGGGCCTTGGGCCACCCTAGATAGTTTCTAATAATGGGATTGATAGTGGGGTCTTCGGGCCACAGGCTCAGCCTCCAGAGGGGCTGGAAACTAAGGTGACCACATGGGTGGTCAGTCATGTCTTTGTGACTGAGCTCTAATAAAAGCTCTGGATGCCAAGGCTTGTCGGAGCTTCCCTGGTTGGCCGTACTTCATGTATGTTGTCACACATTGTTGCCAGAAGGTAGCACTGCCCACAGCTCCGCTGGGAGAGGACAACTGGAAGCTTTGTGCTTGCAAATGTCCTGGACTCTGCCCCACGAGTCTCTTTCCTTGGCTAATTCTAATCTGGTTTCTTTCACTGTAATAAACTGTGACTGTCAGCTTTTAGCGAGTTTTGTGAGTCCTTTTAGTGAATTATTGAACCTGATGGTGGTTTGGGGGTCAAATTGGCAGTTGGTGTCAGAAGGGAGGGTGGTCTTGGGCCTCCCAAACTCTGCAGTGTCTTTGGGCACACACTTGATCTTCTCCATTAGAGCAGACTCTCAGTCAGCAACTCAGTACCCAGCTATAATAGAGCGCAATAAATCTTTTTTCTTGTTTGTTTTCATTGGGTTTATCTTTATGGCTATCTTCCATTTATATCAAGCACTACTGGTTTTCCATATTTAATTGTGCCTTTTAAAATAAATGTATTTAAGTTAAAAAGAGAGCTGACCATATGTGTGTGTGTATGTGTGTGTGTGTGTGTGTGTGTGTGTGTGTGTGTGTATATATATATATATATATATATATATATATATACTTATGAGTGATATTCCCTCCTGATTGGTTAGGCATCTGCTCTGATTAGTAGGTGGTGAGTGTCAATCAAAAAATATCTTTAGGGCCAGCCAAGTGGCGCGATGGTTAAGAACTGGCTTGGGACGCCAGAGGGCCCCGGTTCGGATCCCACATATGAGGGCCAGTGACACTGCCCTCTACGGCTAAGATGCTGAACAACAGCTCAACCTGGAGCTGGGCTGCCGTGAGTCGCCGGCGACGGCGTAGGCTGCAGCCCCTGTGGCAGTGGGTTGTCATGGGCTACCGTATGTAGCCAGCAGCCAGCGTGAGCAGCCGTTAGAAGCCGGCAACTGATGTGCCTCGCCCGGGAAGAGTGCAATGATGGTGCCAACTTGGGTCAGTGAAGCAACGTCCTCCACAACTAGACTGAAGAACAAAACAACAGCAACTTGTCTGTTCCCCTTCCCCAAATTCCCCAATAAAAAAAATTTAAAAATTTTTTTAAAAATTAAAAAATATATCTTTAGTACTCTCTCTATATGTATATAATATGTGTATCAAATACAATGTATATCACATATGTAATATACATATATTACTCATAATATATGTATATACAAAATACAGAATATAGATCACATATATATAATACACGTCGCATACAATGTTAAGTGTTTGTTTTCATTGGATTTATCTTCCTGGCTATCTTCTATTTATATGAAGCAGTACTGGTTTTCCATATAGAATTATATCTTTTAAAATAAATTTAAGTTAAAAAGGGAGTTGATCTCTTAAAATGAAAGTCAGTAATAATACAGGTAGGATGAAATAGTGAACACAAGTGAGAAGGGGATATATATAGTCATATTATTTGTGCTACACTCTGATATTTTCTTTTGTGTTTTATTACTTCTTTTTCTTTTATGCTACTCACAGCCCACTAAACTGATTTCATAACCCATAAGTAGGCTGTGACTTGAAGTTTGTGAAATATTGTTATGCAACCACCAGTCAACAGAACCTTGTCTCTTTACTTTGGCATGATGACGCTTAAGCTTGGGTAGAAGCCTCTGCCCCGAGCCCTGGGCTTCAAAGGGCCCACTCTGGCCTCATCTGATTGAGCCCCTCCTCACAGGCTGCAGAACCAAGAGCCTTCAGGAAGTGCCCACTGGAGCCTGTGCCCCTTCTTGACCATGTTCTGGGAAGCTGGTACCCTGGAATTCCCCACCCAAACTGCTCTGAGCCCACTCCAGGGCCTTTGAGTCTTCTTGGTGGTCACACCCTTAAAGCAAGAGGTTGCCCAGAGCCAGTCATCTGTGGGTTGGTGGTATGGATGGAGCATGGATGTGCAGGCTAGGTGTCCACACTTATATGTATGAGGCCCCTCACAGTGCTGGAGGGACCCAAAGTGTGAAGAAAAGGGGGCCACCGTGGGCCTGGGGCCTCCATTGTACTTGCCCAGTTACCAGTGTCACCTCCCAAAGCTAGGGGTGAGCTGGCATTAGACACCAGGCTCTGTGCATGGAACAAGACACGGGTCTCAAACTGCCATAGGCAGAATCCAGCGCGGACCCTCTCACTGGCCAGAGTCCCCTCAGCCCACCCACCAATCCGTCCTGCTTCACCCCACGTCAGCCTCATTCACTGTACCCCTTGCCCTGGTTTTTGAGCGCATGAACCCCTCACTTCACTCCTCAGGGAACCTGTTCTAGCCCCTGCCGCTTTCTTCCACCCCCAGTCATGAATGATCAGAAATCATGAGACAAGGACCACAGTGCTTTACTTTTTGTCTGAACAGAATGGTCAATGTGGGAGGCAGTGTTGGGGGAGCTGGGCTGCCTTCAGGGTGAGCAGGATTGAAAGGGTAGGGAGCTCAGGTCATCAGTCCTGGCTCTGGTTTCATCTATGTCTTCCCTCTCAGGCTAGGCTCTAGTCACTATTCGGTAGGCTCTGCGAGGGGACGGAGGAGGCAGGCACGGTGAGCTGGTGGGGGCTCAGTCTCAGATGCTCATCAGGTCGTCGACCCCCACTTCCAGTGGGCTCACCTATTATAATTCCGGCATAACTGGGAAAACTGCCTACACTTGCCACCTGTGGGTGAAGGAAATGATCCAGTCATGAGTTGGAACAATATTGTTTTCTGCATGTGCTCTGGATGCTGGAGGACAAAGCTCCTCGGGAAGCACCAAGGCAACTCTGAACAAGTAATGAGAAGCAGACAAGAGACGAGCTGGTGCAGGGCCCAAGGGAGGAGCTTCCCCCACATACAGAGGAGCCCTTTGAAAACCCTGCTAGCTTGTGTGTTATTCATTCATTCAGCAAACGTTCTGTTGTGCACCTACTATGTGCCAGGCACTGATCTAGACACTGAGGACACAGCCTGGAACAAAAGTGACTAAAATCCTTGCCCTAATAGAGCTGACTTTCTAGTGGGGAAAACTAACAATGGAAAAAAATAACTAAGTCAACTGCATAGATGATGATAAATCATCTGGTGATATGTGCTATCAAGAAAAATAAAGCCAGGAAGGAGGCAGAAGACCTGAAGGAGGTGAGGGAGAGCCACTTGGACATCTAGAGGAAGGGGATTCCAGGCAGAGGGAACAGCCAGTGCAAAGGCCCTGGGGTAGGAAGGGACAGGTGGGCTTAAGGGACAGCAGGGAGGCCAGGGGGCTGGACCTCAGTGAATGAGAGATTTTAGAAGACAAAGAGGACTTCTGAAATCAGCCCTCTGCTGTCTCCTGGCCACCACCCTTGCCTCCCTTGCTCCCTGGCCTCTTCCATCCTTTTATCACAGTTATTGCCACATGCTCAGCTCATGCCTGGGTCTAGGGCTCTGCACTTGCTCCTCCCTCTACCAGCTTAGGTTTTAAAAATCATCTTTCTCATCCTCAGGAGTCAGTTCCTATTTTACCTCTTTAGAAGGAGCACCTCTCCCTGTCCCTCTCAGTCACATCATGATTCCTCATGATTATTATCTTTCTCTGTATCCATCCTGCTCATTAGTGCATTTACCTGTTTGCTATGATCCCCCTACCAGATGTGAGCTCCCCAAGGGTGGGACCAGCACCACAGCACAGGTTGGGCACAAAGTAGGTGGCCACAGATATTTGTCTTTGGAACAATTTATGTACCCAGGACTCATGTTCAGGCTCTGTCCTCACACTGACCTGGCTCCAGTCCTTCCCTGATTATGTGCTGGGTGACCTTGGGCAAACCCCTCAATTCTCTGAGCCTCACTTTTCCCACAGGGGAAAGAACAGGGCCGGGACAAAGTCAGGATCAACAAACACATGTGGCTTGACCCCCGACTCAGCGAGGTTTAGGCACATATCAAAAATCTCTTTTTATTATTGTTAGTGTTCTGCCTTCCACCTTAAGACTAAAAAGATATGGCTATGTTTATTTCCCTGATGAGGAAGTTAGAAAAAGAGAAGTAACGAAAGTTGGTGTAGGTTATACATATAGCTTAACTGAGAGCTTGCAAACTGGTAGCTTCATGTTTTATCTGCAATACTTAAAACACTTTTAAAAAAAATTAGTTCCTCTGCTTGTTAGTCTCCCTCTGCCCCCTTCCTCATGTGATGCTGGGCCCTGGGAGGCTGACCTGAGAGGCCACAGTCCCCAGCCCCTTGCTCTCTACTTGAGCATTGGCAGGGAGGCACTGGCAGGAGAGAGGAGGGCAGGAGGAAAGAGAGGGTTACACATCTGGTCCCCTCCACCCCTGCACCCTCCTGGCTGGGTTACAGTAACGCAGTGGCTGCAAACCTCTCCGACAGTTCCATCTCTAACCAGACCCTGGCACAGCCATGACTTGCCCTCACCCCTTCAGGCCAGTATGATTGCAGCTCCCCACTGTCACTAGTTTTGGAGGCTGCACCATCCCATTACCCTGCCACCGCCACGTGAGCAAGCCCAGGCCAGCCTGCTGCAGGGTAAAAGATCATGAGACAGAGATAAAAGACAAAGGTAAAAGACCCAGGATCCCACAGAAACAGAGCTCTCTGCTGACCTGCAGCTGACCTCAGAAGCATGAATGTATCCAGCGGCCACCAGAAGAACCACCCAGCTTATCCCAGCCTATATTTCCAAATTGCAGAATTGAGAGCTAAGTAGATGGTTGCCATTTTAAGCCACTGAACTCTGGGTTGGCTTATATGGCTCTGAAGTTAAGGAATATGCCTTATTTAAAACCACCTTGCCCAGGGGCCTTCAAGAATCTGTCTCCTCTCCCTCCTCTCTGGGTGCATGCCAAGACCTCCTCCTTCCCAGCCTTGGTGCCCCTCCCGCCCAATGCCCATTCTCACTGGTGAGGATGATAATGCCTGTGATGAATAGCACAGCTGCGACCAACAGGCCGTGTCTCCGGAGAGTGGTCTCGTCTGCAGAGAGAAAAATGGAGTATGGTGAGAGGAGCTTCACCCTTCCTCCCCCAGCATCCTCCATGGGAACTTACCATAGAAGAAGGGGTTATCCTCACTTGAACCTGCAGGGGACAGACAGAGAGCAAGTCAGAGTTCAGCAAAGGTTTGTGGAGTGAATCAATGAATGTCAGGGTCAAGGAGAGGGGACACCTGTGTCTCAGCCTTGGTGAACTTAGAACAAAACTTGAAGTCCTCACGTGACATAACACCTGGTTCCCATCACCTGTCTAACTTTAACTCACTCATTTGCTCTCGCCCTGCTGGTGACCTGCCAGACTACTTCTCACCTCAGGGCCTTTGCACGGGCTGCTCCCTCTGTCTGGAGCACCCTTCCAGACATCCTCATGGCTTCCCCTCAGCTCCTTCTCAGAGAGGTCTCTGTGGCCCTTTACAGAAATACCCCCCAGTCACTCTCTCAGCCTAACCCTGTTTTATTTTTCTTGTAGTAACTTAAAACCATATGACATATAATTATTATGATTATTATTTACTGTGTTTCTCCCCCAACTAGAATGCCTGCTCCATGAGGGCAGAGATTTTTGTCTTATTCACTGCAGTATCCCTGGCACCTAGAACAGTGCCTAGCACATAAGTAGGTGCTCAATTAATATTTTTTTTGAATGAATGAATGAATGAATGAATGAAATCTCTACATGACCCATGGGCATATCATTTCCATCTGTTTATTGAGATTGGCTGAGTAGAAAGTGGAAGATAGAATCACAAGGGGAAGAATCATGGTGACCCTAGAAACACAGCTCCCTGCTGATCCCCAAACTGATCTCAGATGCAGGGAGTAAGTCCAGATGAGATGAGAAGAACCACCCAGCTGAGCCCAAACTAAACTTCCAAATTGCAAACACAAGTCTAGTTCTCAAGAACGAAATAAATGGTGTCATTTTAAGCCACTGAGTTTTGGGGTGGCTTCCATGCAGCATTCATTTATGCATTCACTCATCTATTCAGATATTTCTTGCGTGTCTACCCTTTGCCCACCTTCTGCCGGCCCTGAAGTCATGTATTCGCCCAACCTATGTTTAAAGAGGACTATTCTGTGCTGGGTAGTATTCCGAGTGCTAGAAGTACACAGTGAATAAGAAATAGCCTGTTTCCAGTCTGGGAAGGGAGTTACTGACCAGTTGGCCCGAGATCAGGATCCGTGGCGAAGGCTTTGCCTGGCGGCTTCTGGGAGAGCGTGATGCCTTTAGTGGGATCAGCTGAGAGCGGCCAGAAGATGGTGGCGGGCAGGAGTGCGCCATGGAGGGAAACAAGGGGCATCACTGAAAGTTGCATTTGAGAGAAACTCCTCTCCCAAGCCTACACATTCAGTGGGCAGGCACAAATGTCCCCCACTCCAACCCCGGGAGGCAGTAAGAAATGGCAGGTATGCACTCCCTGGTTAAGGCCCCGACCTCCCAGCCCCTACTCCTAGGACCTTGTGGGCTGCCCCATAATCCAGAAAGTAAAGGATAACATCTGTCATAGCCAGGTAGGGGGCCTCCAGGACCCCTGGCCCAGTGACGGAACCTGGAGGTACTTGTTCTAAAACATTCTAAATAGCACCTCTGCTCCCAGACCAAAAATACCAGAAGATTCCTCTCTTCAGAAAAATAACGCCACCCCGCCAAAAGACCTGCCCTTCTGGCACTGAGAAGTGTCCCCAGTGAAGTGGTTACCACTGTCTGATGCCCCAATGTGAAGCCAGCAGGTAGAAAAGCTGCCGCATGAACCCCGAGCTCCCCAGGTCAATCTCAGTGCCTCACCTCCAAAACATGAACAGATGGCCAAGGATTCCGACATGTTCGAGACAGGCTTGCCCAAAGGAAGGTATAAGCAAGATTAACAGCAGGAACAGAGGTGGAGGTCACAGCAAATGTAAAGGACAGCCTGGGTGGCGTGTGGGGCTCAGGCACCCTGGCGCTACAGAGCCTGGGCTCAAATCCCATTCTGCCACTTAGGGCTGTGTGGCTTAGGGCCAGCAGAGTAACTTCTCTGGGCCTCAGTTCCCTTCCTTGTAAAATGGGGTTATGACAGTTCCCACTACAGAGAGCGGTTGTGAGAATTGGGTGAGTGAACACATGAACGCTTAGCACACTGCCCCGCAGAGCAAACTCTCCACAAATGTTGGCTATTGTTATCATCTGCTTGGCACTCACTTCACCACTCTTCTGGGAACAGCTCCCTAGTTCATCTGGTCCTCCTATTGTATGTAACCCAGGCCACAAGGGGGAGCATGTGACCCAGTCTCCTCTTTCCCTGGGACCTTTCAAATTCCAAGGAGGCATTCTGAGTGGAAACTAGGTGAAGCTTCAGGAGCTCTGAGCCAGCAGATGACAGGAGCCAGCAGATGACAGGACAAGCTCCAGCACGAGAGACAAAGATGGAGGGAGAGAGATGCTGGGGGCTTTTGTGCTCAGGCTTTGGGCGACCCTGAGGCTCAGCAATGCCTTTTACCACTCGGCTCCATCACCAGTCCGCCCAGCTGAATTTCACGTATAACCAGGAATACGGAACAACACATAGTAACTCAGGTCAGCAGGGACTTGGAGCAAGTGAATCAGTGATGTGAAGATGTTTTCTCCATTGGGAAACGCGGACAGAGCTACTACACCTCCACCCCCACTTCTGTGTAACATAGAAGATTCCCTTCCCCAAGACAGTTTATTTCCATCATTTGTAAAATTGTTTTAATAGAATCTGTCAGAATGAGATGTTTTACTGCCATCGCTGGAAAATTGTAACAATTATAAAACCTGTCATGGGGGAATGGCATGGCCTGAGAGGTGGTGCTCTTGCACAGTGCCCAGTGCATGTATGTCAGCCTGGGAGTGGTCCAAGCTACAGTACATTCTGGTAGATGCTGCTCCTCAAATATGAATCATCACACAGGTATGATAAGCCACCTGTAGCCTTCATTAGGCTCAGCCTCCTTTCCCAAACCTCTAGGAACGTTAGCTACTCACTGGTCTTGAGGGGAACCACCTCTTCCCTGACTCTTGGTCTATGCAGTTCAGACAAGGCTGACCCTGTTCCCCAGCCCCAGGGTGGGGGCAACAAGACTCAGGTCTGACCAATCAGATTAGTCCATTTCCCAGGCGCCCATTGGTCAGACATGGTCTTGTGACCCCAGCTGGGCCAACGAGAGTCAATTCTAGACCTTGGGTTGCAGATGATGAGAAAGATATGTGCTCCAGCTCCTGAATTTGTGACCTAAACTTAGAACCATGGGACCATCTTTTTTTTTTTTAAGCTGAGCCATCCTGTCACCTGTTGGCAGCTTAGCAGCTGCTCAGCTCGGGCTGGGAATCGAACCGCTGTTGCTCAGAGCTCAAACTCTGGAGCGAGCTCTTAACCAACTGAGCCACTCGGCCAGCCCATGGGACCATCTTGAGAATGATTACAACAGAGATGAAAGGGGGAGCAAGTCAGTCATGATGACAGCGCTTGAGCTCCTTGATCTAGCCATGCCTGAAACTGGTCCCTCTGGACTTTACAGAACATATACACCCAAGAAGTCTTTTTTTTTTTTCCAGTTGGATTTTCTGTATTTTGCAACTGAAAAGCTCCTGCTCTAACAGGAAGACAAGCACAAAGGACGCCCACAGCCACATTTCCCAGCATGAGCCCAGTGAAGGAACCTGAACAAGAGGGTCTTCTCTCTATTAGGCTTGGAAAATGCTGCCAACTAGATGCCCCTCTTGGGGATACTTGCTGCAAATAAGTTTTATTAAGACCCTGAGAAGTCCTGCCAGAAAGAAACGTATTTAACTTTATCTCAGAGTTTCCCAAACACCTTTGGCCACAAACCAAAAAAATTTTTTTGCAAAATGTTATTAACAATTCCCCAAATGAATGCTCTGAGAAACATCCTTGGGGAAATGCTGACCTAGTTAGAGAATTAAACAAAACTTGTATGCTGCTGTTCTAGTGGCAGACTCTACCTTCCGTGCTGCTCTTGTCTGGCCCCGGACCTAGAGTTAGGTGCACATCCATACTCGTTGGTTGCTGCGTCTGGTTCTCTGGCGGGGGTGGTGATGCTTCTAGTGAGGGTCAGAAGAGCAAGGAGAGGAGGGTAAGAAATGAGTCCATAAGCAACATGTGGATCCACAGAACAGCAAGGGGCCCTCTCCCCATTTCAGGTTGGCACAATCCAAGACATTCATATGCCAAGTGGCGCTGTGGGGGTGGAAAAAGGGGACTCGCGCTCTGCGGGTGGCAGGCAAATCAGCGTGGCCATTTCTCAAGTGGCTTTTAAAACAAATTTCAGTAGTCATTGGCCCCATAGTGTTGTGGGTAAAAGCAGGGCTCTAGAGCCAGGTTCCTGGACCCTGATCCCAGCCATGTCACTGATGTGACACTTTGGGGGAGTTACCCTGAGTTTCCATGTCCTTATCTGTATGGTGGAGATAATGGCCATTTCTACCTCAGAGGGTTTGTGTGAAGATTGAATGAGTGAACACGGATGAAATATTGAGAACCATGACCGACACGTAAGTGCTGTAAGTGTTTGGTCAAGGAAGAAGGGACGAGGTGACTCCTTGTGGCACTGTGTATAGTAGAAAAATCTGGAAGCAACCAAGGTGCCCATCAAGAGGTGCCCAGCAAGATGGCTTCATTAACTGTGCACAGGCACCCTATGGAATAGCACGCAGTGGTGAAAAAGAAAAAGATCAGTATTTATATGGGCATGTGGGAAGAGCCTCCAAATACATCGTTTCATGGAAGGAAAAGCCAGTTGCAGAACAACCATCATAAATTTCCTTAAGGTCACACAAATATACTCCCCGGTCAGTGTATTTTCTCCAGGTCACACACATGTGATACAGTCTCATTGGGGAACTATCCCCAATACTAACAGTGAGGGCCTCTCAGAGACAGGGAAGAGAAACAAGGATGCGGAATGAACAAAGGGATTTCGTCTCACCTACCACATTTTTATTATTTCCAAGGTGAATGCGTTTATGCACTACTGCATCATTAAACATTAATGGAAAAAAATTGAGGAGCACTTTTTGAATTATGGTAGACCCAAGAATAAGTTCAAAAATGATTTGAAAATTTAAAAAAACTGAAACAGATCAAGAGATTAAAGGAAGGAATGAATAGGGTTGGCACACAGGGAGTTTCTGGGGTGTTTGCAAAGCTCTAGTCCTTGACCTGGTGGTGGTTCCTAGAAAGGGTTCAATTTAGAATAATTTGTTAAGTTGTACATTTATGGGTTTTAGACTTTTCTACATCATATTCTTTTTCATGATGTCAAAAGATTGTTTTAAAGAAGTGAATGGAGTTGGCTGGCTGGCCCACCACATATTAAACCAGGGGATTCGGAGCTGGGGGCTGAAATGGGAAACCGAGGACCCAAAGCATCAGAGGGAGACGGGAGCGCTGTCTCTCCCAGACCCACCTGCCCACCCCCTAACCCTTTCCCACTCACCATCAGCCTGCGGAGTTGGAGTCAGAGGGACGGGCTGGAGTTCTGGGTGGACTGCGTTTGAAGTCCAGAAACAGAGAGAAGAGAGAGAAGATATGGAGAAGATTCATTTTCCAAGGTACATGGGGATTTTCATAGCCACTCATAGTGTAATGGAAATGACTTAATTAACCCAGCCATTTGCTCACTGACAAAATGCGATGCCAGTGTCTCCCCTGCCTCAGGCCCTCCCATCCCACAGACGCCCGTTCCCCTGCCTCTGGTAAGAGCCCCCGGAACTTCCTTTGGGGAACCATCCTTCTCCAACTCTCAGTGGACCTGACACCAGCCCTGTTGAAGGTTGAACATGAGACCCAGGTCTAGCCAATCAGCTTTCTGTGCCTGTGGCCACAGTGATCAGTTCATGGGTAGGTACGTGACCTGAGCCTGGTCAATGACACTCAGTTCTGGGACATTTGCTGGATTGGGGAAAGGGAAATTCTCTTTCCCCCGGATTCTTAGCAGTTAGGATGGAAGCGCCAGGTCTCTGGACACTATCTTGGCCCCATAAGAGGAGAATCTATCTGAGAATGAAGCCAACACAGAGAAAACAGAACCAAGACACAGATACAGGTTCCTGAGAGCATCATTTGAGAACCTACATTGAGCCATGGCTTAAGATCTATCCCTGGTCTTTTCAGTTACACAATTTCAAAAACTCCTGTTTGGTCCAAGCTTGTGATTTGTGTTGTTGTTATTATGTGCAATAACAGGATCTTAATAGACCTGTCCCTCTCTCCTTACCTGGGGAAGTCAGGACACGTGTGTTCACAGGGGTTGAGTCTGCTCGAGAAATGGGTGTAGTCACCGGCTGTGTCTGTCCTGAGAAATACTGAGAAGTCAGGGAGGAGCCTCTGGTGCTCCTCTCACCAACACCCCCACTCTTCCCTCCCTTCTGAAACCTGGGGGGTAACTCCAGGGGTCCTCTCTGCTGGTGGAACAGCAGACAGCTGTTTGATTGATCAGCTTTGGCAGTATCAATCCATGATCCTGGAAGTGTTTTAAGAAATGCTGATTCCCCAGCACCCTTCCTCCAGTCCCACCCCTCCTCCCGGCCCATCCTTGTGGGATAGGAGAGACAGTTTAGCCAGGTGAGCCCAGCGCTAGAGTCAGCCAGGGCCCTGATCTCAAATTTGGTTCCCAACACTTCTTCCTTCCTGTGTGACCTGAAACAGGTGAAGACTCCACTCTGAGCCTCAGTTGCCTCAAATGCTATTTGGGGAGAACTGAATCTACTTTTCAGGGCTGTACAGAGGGTGAAATGAGGTGGAGTGGGGAATTTTCTTAACTATTTAACATACAGTTAGCGCTGGATACAGCCACTTCCTCGCCCTGGCCCAGCCTCCGTCCTCTCCCTCCTGGACCATCACAGCCATCTTCTCTCCCTGCCCCTCCCATCCTGCCCCTTACATTCTGCTCCCCACACGCAGTACAGGAGGGAGCCTGGCAACACCTGAGGCAGATCGTGGTCCTGCTGGCTCAGAGCCTCCCCTGGCTGCACCTTGCACTTGGTAAAAGCCAAAGTCCTCACCCTACCCCTAACCCCCCCGACACCTGGTCCCCTGTCACCTCTCTGACCTCTCCCGTTCCCATCCTGCCCCTTGTTCACCCCAACCCAGCCACCTGGCCTGCCTGCTGTTCCTCACACTCACCAGGCAGCATTTATCCCTTGATACCTATTTGGTTCGTTCCCTCATCTCCTTCCACTGTCTGCCCAAATGTCACCTCCTAGTGAAGTCTTCCCTGACCATCCTATTCAAACAATCCTCATTGCTCTCCTCTATTTTTCTCCATAACACACATCACCTTCTGGCATACTGTATAATTTACTAATGGGTTATTTATTGTCTGTGTTTCCCAAATAGAATATGAGCTCCTGTTGTATGCATTGCTGCTTCCACAGTGCATAGAATAAGATCTGCTCAACGAATACCTGTTGAATGAATGAAGGAATCGATGAAAACCATTTTATACAAGAGAACTCTTCAGTGGAGGGTATGCTCTGGGTTCCAGGGGCAGGATGACTGGATCCCAGCCCCGCCCCCTCACTAGCCTCTGGCACAGGCACTTTCCCTTGCTGCGCCTCAGTCCCCTCACTGTAAAACAGGCAGGGCAATATGTATAATACAATGCGGTAAACCCGAAGCTGAAGTGAGCTCCCGCACACAGGGCACCTGCCATGTGGAAAAGCACCTGCCAATGCCACCACAACTACCGCCTTCAGGAAGCACTTCCCAGGCCAGGGGAGAGATCTCCAGCTCTTGGACTGGCCCCAGCTCACCCGCTTTGCCTAACTGTATCACCTGGGGATCCAGGAAGCGGCTCTGCTGAGAGCCCAGGTTTCCTGGCTGCTGAGTAGAAAACTGACACCAATCTCCCTGCCAAATCAAACTCAGTGAGCTCTTCTTGGAGGTGAAATGAAGGCTGCTCAGCAGGACAGGCTCTGGCCAGACTCGTTGGAAGCGGCCACCCAGTTCTGAGGTGCCCGAAAAGGGTGTAACCCTGTCCTCCTTTTTGGGAGCCCTGCTTCCTGGTGCCAGCTCAGGAGGGGGCTGAGGACACAGGACAAGGCATCCAAACTCACCAGCTGCCCACCCAGCAGTTGCACTCCAGGTAGGGTTGGGGGCTCTAGGGCAGAGTGAAGACAAAGGCCTTTGTCTTACCTGTGGTGGGAAGAAGCAGGCCAACGATGGTAAAGAGACACAGGTGACCAGAGAGCGACATCTATGGAGCAAGCGGGAACTGGGGTCAGCCATGCTGTCCGTGAGGCAGGCCCAGGGCAGCCCTGGGGGAATCCTTCCACCCCTTTCCCTCCCCTGAGCGGTCACCTCTGGCTTCAAGGACCCCCTGCTAGGGCTAACAGGAGAGTCTCCGAAGTGGGGGTCCCCAGCTGCCATCCCCTTCTTCCCTTTACAGGTTCCCAAAGAAAACAAGACACCTCAGACCAAACTGGGCTTCCAGTAGCAGCCACTGAACAGGTAGCCCCCTGAGGCAGAGAAGCACTTACCCCTCTTCGACTGACCCTGCTGGTCACCCAGAGGGGGTTGGGGTACAGGAGAAGGTCCTGGGCCTCTTCCTTCCCTCTGGGACTGTCACCCAGCCCAGCGGAGGAGTTAGCTAGGAGGAGAAAGGGGAAGGGTGAGTAATTTGCTCCTGACCTCAAAGGAAAAAGTAAGTGTGTCGGGGCCTTATGCAGGGACAACAGAACAGGACGATGGGCAGCTCTGGGAGACACTGGTCCGAGAGGGACGGAGGAGAGCTGGGGAGATTGAGGCAGGAGGGAGAGGTGCGGGGCAGCCCACGAGCAGGAGCAGGCGGGAGAAGTGAGTATGAATGGGGGGCAGAGAGGATCCGCTAGGGCCCGTCTTGACCCACCTGGGCCCGGGGCCCTGGGCAGAGACGAGCGGGTGGACGAGGGTCTGAAGAGAGACTTACCTCCGAGCTGGGGGCCCAGAGCCCGCAGCGTTTTGGAGACAGGGTAGCGGCGGCGGCTGCGTCCAGGCAGAGGGTGTGGCCAGGAGAGCGCCGGCTGGCGGGCGGGAACCCAGACGGGCGCAGTCATTTCCTCTTGGGTTTCCTGACTTCAGAGCCCGGGGTGGGAGCTGGAGGAGGGAGACGCGAAGGGCCATGGTGGGGGGTGGGCAAGGGAGAAGTAAGGCAGTGACCGCCAACAACCCGAACTGGGGAGGGTGAGTGCGGGGAGCACGGCAGGCAGGTCTTGGCTGGGTGGCGCTCCTTCGGGGAAAGAGGGGGAGAGGAGGGGAGGGGGTCCCCTAGAGTCCCTGGGGGAAGGGAAGGAAGGGGCAACCGGGTGTGTGGGGGTAACATTGAGGGAGGAAAGAGAAACTCGAGGGGCTTGGAGAAAGAGGAGGAGGCCACTGGAGGAGAGGGAGGAGGAGGAGGGGACAAGAGAGAGAGCTCCCCCAGGTTCAGTTTTGCCCCTCCCCCATTTTGTCCCCACAGATGAGAACACACAGACAGAACAGGGGCAAAACCAAATGCACATTTATTAAGCTCAAGATCTAGACACCGAGTGTGCAGGGGGACGGATCTTTGGAGAGGCGACAAGGAGGTGCAGGGGGCCATTACACGGGAACTCTGGAGGGCTTGGGGGTGGACTCCCGGACTCCAGGAGCTGGAGGCCTGAGTCCCTGGATCTGAGATGCAGACGGGCTCTTTGGGGGGTCGACATTGCCAAGGCCTCGGGAGGGGCAGCGGGGTGTAGCGGCTCCAGCCTCGGGGTGGGTGGGGCGGCTCATTCCGGGGAGTGCTCCCCAGCAGCACAAGGCTGGGGTCCCCACCGCCTCCACCCGGTCCTCAGGCTCCCGCACTCCGGCACGGACAGCAGTGGAGGGAGGTGCCGGGGTTGGTTTTACACGCCGCCACCTCCAGGAGCTGGAGTGAGAGAAAAAGAGGGGGGAGGAGGCGAGTGGGCGCCTTGGGTCAGCGACTAGAGGGGTGGAAAGAGCCCCCTCACCGCAGCCAGTGAGCCCTCCATCCCCACCATGGAATCCAGACCCCCAAGGACTATCACCCTTGAGTTGGCACCGAGGAGTTGTCTCGCCTTCCCACTCCTTAATATCTGGTTCAGATAGGGACACCTGTGTAGCTTTTGTCCTGCCCCATAGGATACTGTTGTAGAGGGGACCATACCTGCGATGAGACTGAGACCCCTGGCCCAGCTCAGCTTTGCTGGGGCCAGAAAGGGCGTCTCCATCCCCTTACTATGTCCCCCCCTCCTCCTGCACCCCCATTCGTCTCCCACCCACTTGGGACCATCACTCAAGTGGAGTGGGTTAGAATCCTGTACATATTCTCAGGACGGTGGCCACCCTCCCCAGTCAACCACAAAGCGCACCCTTCATGTTTCTAAGTCTCATTAAAAGAACAACACAGTGAAATTCCACACGAAATTTCCCCAAACATTGAGTACTCCAAGGCCCTTTTTTTTTTTTTTTTTTTTTTTTTTTAGTTATAAGAACTTTATAAGAGGCAGAGAAATTCCCATCTGGTTTTTTTAAAAGTCCCTGGAAAGGATGCAGTTCCACTAAAAACAGGTCAAGATATTTTTACATAATTAAAATGAACACCCCCAAGGAATCGCAGTCGTTCATGTACACGCTGATCCCCCTCCTATATTCCACATCTCTCTCCATCTTGCTTTACACCTTCCAGCCACCTGCACCCGCCCTCCTGCACCCTCACCCCTCTGCTTCCTCTTCCACTTCCACCTACCCCCTCTAACATCTCATCCTCATCCTCTCCCATACACCACCGACCCAGGGCCTCCATCCTCTGCTCTTTATCCCTTCCTTGTACGTTCCATTCTCATACTCTTTACATCCCCATAGTCTCTCTTTTCCAACATGAATTTTTTAAAATCTGTGTTCTACACATCTCTCCTTTTGTTATTTTGATACAACTACTCAGAAGCCCTTCTTCCCTTCCCTCCTTTCACCCCCCTCCTGCCTCTTGCTCTGTTATTTTAACCTTGATTTTCCAAACCAACCAATAAAGTCTGGAAAACGTTCTATGTCCCTGCCTCTCTAGCACTCAACTCTGTCTTGACCCTGACTACAGTAGCCCTGTTCCCGTGTGAGGCCCCTATCTTCCCAGGTTTAGGGCTTTCTCCTCTGGAAAATGAGCTCATCCTTGCTTTCATAGGCTTGTGTACTTGTTTCTGGAAGGCTTAGTGGACTCGCCAGGACATTTCACATCCCGCTGACTCTCCGTGGTTTAATATTTTTGATCTGTGGGTTTTCAGCTCCTACTGAATTTCCCATGTTCATCCATTGGGTTGGTGGCCCCATTCTTAGGGACATTCAGTGCAGCTCCACTTCTAATGACTCCCTTGTCTGCTCCCACCTGTCCTCCTCCCAGAACCACACCCCTTCTCACCCTCACCTGAGGAGGGAAGCTCCGACTTACAGGATTTGCATGTTGGGCTGTGGAAGCAAAGATACAAGAGAAAAAACTTAAAGAGGCTCAATAGCCACAGGCTGTATGGGAAACACATGGCAGGCCCAGGGGTCCTTCTGTTATGGAAGCGTCCCTGGGCCCCAGACTGTTCCCACTCCCCTCTCCCCTGTCTCCCCACTACTGCCAGACCTCTCAGACCTGGAGTCCTCCTTCCTGCACTTCACCTTCTTGCCTGTTAGGAGAGAGAGAGACAGAACAAGGAGACAGGGCGTAAGGGTCTGGTCGAAAGCCAACAAGGGAGCTATAGGTGCCTGGGGACTCCCTAGGCAGCCCTGTTTGAGGGGGTTTGGAGCTCAGGAGAGTTACACTTACTGATAATGATGAGGATGCCCAGCAGAAACATTATGGTAGCCAGAGTCATGCCCACGGTCTGCACAGTGTCATAGTCTGGGGAAGATAATGGGGGACATCCAAGTGGGGGCAGCACCTCAGCCCCAGCCTCCAGCCTGGCTTCAGATTGCCCAGCCAGGGCCCCAGAATTCAGGTATGCTACAGGACATGCTGGAGGTTCCTCCAGTGCTTTCGAGTGAGGACTTGCCTCTCCCCGCTCCCTTCCTCTGGCGGGTGTATCCTCTATATACATTTCCTCCTCCTGTCCACCATTGTTGCCCATCTGGGCAAGCAAACGTCTCTGTAGTCTCCCCTTCCCCAGCCACAGGGATCCTGTTAACACCTGAGTCAGATCAGGGTCCTCCTCAGCTCAGAGCTCCCCCTCCCCTCCCCTCCCCCCCATTTTCACTGCACTCTTAAGTAAAAGCCAAAGTCTCACCATAGGCCCCAAGGCCCTGTATGATCTAGTCTCTATTCCTTCTCAGACCTCATCCCACTCCACTTTTCCTCAATCCTCTAACTCCAGGTCCACTGCTCTCCCCGCTATTCCTGGAGCATGTCAGGCATGGTCCTGCCTCAGGGCCTTTGTACTTGCTCTTCCTTCTACCTGAAAGCTCTTCCCCCAAATATGCTTCACTTACCAACCTCGGGGCTTTATTCAAATATCAGTGAAACGTTCTCTGGCTGTCCTATTTAGAATTTCCCATCCTCTCTTCAACATTTCCTAATCTTATTCTTTCTTTCCTTTATTTTCCTTCATAAGAATTATTCTTGTTTAATATACCACAGTAAATATTTGTTGGAATGTTGATTTATGGAGCACCCACTCTGTGGGTGCTCAGCAGTGGTCCAGGCCTCTGCCTTCAGGGATTTGACTTTCATATTGTGATCAAGCAATAAACTACATAAAACCAAAACTGAGTCATGTGACCGTGGATAGAAGTGGTATGGTTCCTCTTGCCCGGGAGTCAGGGCGGGCCTTTCCTAGCAGAGTAGTCAGTATTTGATCAGAGGTCTGAAGCAGAAAAAGGAGCCTTAGCCAGCTGTCTGGAGAGCTGGAGGAAGAGTATTCCAGGCAGAGAGAACAGCAAGTGCAAAGGCCCTGAGGTGGGAAAGCACTTGGCCTATTGGAGGAACAGGATGAGTGAGCAAAGGCAGAGAGACGGCAGGAGATTGTTAGAGAGGGAACTGAGGCCAGACCTAGGGGTACTTCTTTGAACTTCAGTGCTGTGGGAATGATTTAATAGCATCATCCACATAAATCTCTCCTACAGTCCATATGAGTGGAAACTACTACTCTCCCTTATTTACAGAAGGGCCCAGAGAGGCAGAGTTTCTTGCTCAAGGCCACACAGCTAGTGAGTGGATAAGCCAAGATTCAAATTCAGGCAGCCTGGCCTCAAAGTTTTTGCTTCTCTGGTGACCCCAATGCACCAGCCCAGAGTCCTGGTGAAGTCTGAAGGGGTCCCAGAGAGTGTACCCCCTCATCTGATTCTGCCCTCCATGACCCCAGGTGGTGTGAACTATATCCATATGGTCACATGGCCAGTGGTCCAGTACATATCAGCCACAGCTGAAGCCACGTCAGTGGTGACCTGTGGGGATCTGCAGCCACTCCTTCATCCCGCCCCAGGGTGCATTCACCACAGAATCTGCCACTCACCATAGTAAAATGGGTCAGGTTCCTGAGGAACTGTGGGAAGGAAGGCAGAGAAAGAGAGACAGGAAAAACATATTTCAACAATGGGTTTCTTAACATTTTTGGGGATCCACATGGGGCCACTAGCCCAATGGTTTCTGTGTAGAAATCCAATAAAGTAACCCCTTGCTCTGGGTGATATAGCTTCATTGCAGGACACAAGGCTTGAAGAGTGAAGCCTTGGATGGATTCCAGCCCCTGCTTTACTCCATTAGTTTGTACCTTCTCTGCGCAGTGCACAGCCTACCCAACCGTACATGGCAGTTCTGGTCCTAGTCACGTGTGGAGGTCTTCTGCAAACTATGGACTCATTTCCTGAGAACACATATATTCTCCCATTTGCATATGATGCTAGGAATGAACAGGCTCCAATCCCACTGGTGGACTGCTGAGTATGCCAGCTTCCCCCTGAAAACTCCCTAAAACCTCTTGGTCATCTGAGAGCTCCAAAAGTCAGACACTGTAGCTACTGCTCTCATCCGCTAACTTCTGCCATTAAATCCAGCACAGGAAAGCTGTCCTATAATATACCCAATATTATGCTTTATATAATGTATGCCATATTACTTATTTCTAAGATACCATTGATTTTTAGATCCATAATTGAGTTTGTAATAGCTTTCCCAGTGTGTGTGTGTGTGATGCATGAATATGTATGTAACTAACTATACCACATGAAACATACCCATCTATTGGAAGACTCATCCTGATTTCATAAATGTTAATGTGTGGATAAAATGTGTGTGTGTGTGTGTGTGTGTGTGTGTTTACTTTTCCCCATCTCTCACCTCCCTGTCTCAAACCACATCCAGGAGAACTCAGAGCATACTTCCCATTCAAGAACCCATCCTGATGGCTCCTGAATTCCTCAGACAGCTCATAGTACATTCTGCCTTGCCTAGAGCAGGACTCTAGGACACCTCTAGGGGAGGGGTACTAGGAGTGCCAGGGTGATGCCAGGTGTTGTCATTAGTATTCTTCCCCTTCCAGGCTCAGGGAAGGATGGCTGCCTGGAGGTGGTGGTGGAGGGGACATGTGACTAACTTGGCCAATGAACTATGAGTGAAGATGTCATTGTGACTTCCAAGCTGGAGCATTTAAGTGCCCATACAAGAGCTCCATTTTGACTTTGGCTTCGTGACATGAACGTTCAAGATGGTAACCGCTCCAGTTTTCTTTGGTGAATAGAGAACCCCAGCTGACTTGTGATGGACATATAGTGTGAGAAATAAACTTTGGTTGTCAGAAGCCACTGAGATTTTTGGTACTGTTTGTTACCCCAGCATGCTCTAGCCTAAACTGACTGATACAGGTAGTACCTAGGCAAGACCCTGAATAGTACTGATTCACACAACATATAAGTTCACTCTTCTCCATTCTCTGTCCAGTCTTCAAAGAGGAAGTCTTAGGTCGGTGCTGATGTGTCTTTAACACTTCCAACCCTTGTTAATCTCTCCCTTTCCCAAGAGAACACAGGCCTTAGGCTCAGAACCTTCAGTAGGTAACAATATCTAGGTAGAATTTTGTGACATTATTTGGTTTTCTCCTTTATTGATTATCTAACGAGCACTTGATAGTATTGAATACATGCCATGCTCTCTTCTAAGCACGTTACAGATATTAACACATTTAATCTTCACAGCAGCTCTCTGATAGAGGTACGCTGAGGCCCAGAAAAGTAAAGTCACTCGTTTAAGATCATGTTTTATACTTGCCTTCAATTTAAAACAAAAACAATCCTGATTTTCCATTTGTGGTGGTGATATAAAATAAAGCTGATTAAGTTTTCTAAAAGTTAATACTGTGAAAGAAAAATATTAAATAAATAGCAGGGAACATTTGGACAGGCAAAAATCATGAAGGTGATATTCAAAAGTATCAGGAAACATTATTTTAGAGACATCTGTGCTCTGTCTTAGCTCCCCCACCAGATGGGGAGTAAATTTGACTCATCTCTGCTGTTAATTCTGACATTTATGAAAGGTCTCCCAAAGAAGTTTGAAAGAAAGAGAGAGAGAGAGAGAGAGAGAGAGAGAGAGAGAGAGAGAGAGAGAGAGAGAGAGAGAGAGAGAGAGAGAGAGAGAGAGAGAGAGAGAAAGGAAGAGGGAGGGAAGGAGGGAGGGAGGGAGAGAGGAGGGAGGGAGAAAGAAAGGAAGAGAGGAAGAAAGAAAGTGAGGCTCTGTTGGGCTGCAGGAGGCTGCATCAGAAATGGAGCAGTTGGATTATCCCACTTTTGTCCCTTGTGTTTCCACATATCCTCTCTACCCAAACCATCAGGGAGCCCACTGGGTGAGCGCCTGTCTCAGAATCTTCTTTGGTTCCTCCTCCGGTGCTCTGTGCTCCATGCTCCATGCAGAAGTTCCTCTTCTGGTCCCTGATGCCCCAGCAATCTGGGTCCTCAGGGCAAGGCTGGGCTAAGGGTGGAGCCAGGAGGCAGGAGAAGGAATGTGCACCATTCTAGGCCAGTTGCCAGAGACATCAGGAAGGAGGTGGCTGCTATGGCAACCAGGGCAATTGGAGAGGTGAAGAGAGGTGATGGGTCTGGGCACCCCAGGATTGCTGGGGGTCCTGTGGGAGGCTTAGAGTTGGGTTTCTAACTTTGGGGCAAATCTTGACTCCCCCCACTCCCTTTGTATCTCCCATGTGCGCCCCTGCATGGCTGGCTTCTGGCCAAGCTGAGGGTCCTCCTCAGGGACAGGACTCCAGGCCCAGTGGGACTCCTGCATCCCCTGTTTGCCCCTCAACTCACCCTCCTGCTCTGTGACAGGGCGGGGAGAGACTTCACCTTCCTCACCCTCTCTCCCCAATAATCCATTAATTTGTTTCCTTAAGCAGTTTGCAAGGCACACTGTGATTTTCCTCCCTCGGGATTTCCCAAGACCTGCGGTCCCCTCTCATGCTTTGACTGGGGAAAAGGGGGGGGGGAGGTTGGGCAGGGGCTGAAGCATCTGTCCTCCCACCTCTGCCTGTCTGCTACCATCGATCCTGCTAACCATCTCTGCGAAAAGAAGCCCTGGGCTCCCGCCAGGCCTGCTGGCTCAGCCCTGCCCCCTCTCCCTAGGGTGGCTTCCAGCCTCTGCAGCCCCCCCGCCCTGCTTCAAATTCTGCAGATACAGCTCAGTGCAGCAGCCCCCGCCTTCTGGGAAAGGGGTCAGGGAAGGAGAGATCGGAGTGGAGTGGGGTCCCCTTTATCGCCAGGGACGCCTCAGCACCGCTAGATTAGCCCCTGGCCCTGCTCTCGGTGCTGGAAATCCTACCCTTTGCCCCTTACTCCCAATTAAAGCATTCTACCCCTTGCTCCTCTGCAGAATCAGGCTCAGGAAAGGGGGATCTTAGGGGAGCGTGTTTAAGCAGGTGCATAACTGGGTTAATGGGTGGGAAATGTAAATCGCTGTGGCTGCATGGGGGTGGGAGGGGCATCTGTGTGCACCCAAGCGCACCTCCCAGACCTGACAACACCCTGAATGAGGGCTGGAAAGGAGGGTCCTGCCACGCATTCCTGCCCATGGGGGTTCACTGCAGTACTTCAGGCCCCACCCTGTGCTGCCCCTCCTCCTCTCGTTCTATTCCTTTCTGGCACTTTGGGTCCATCTCTCTCTCTCTCCTGTCTTTCTCTAAGCCTCCCTCTCCACAGTTGCCTCAGTCCCTCTATCTCTCTGTCTCTGATTTTCTCTTTCTCTGCGTCTCTGTCTATAGCTCTCCGTCTCTCCCTGAATCTGAGTCTCAAATCTATCTTCTCTCTGGGTCTCTCTTTGTGTCTCTGACTCTGGGTCTCCTGTCTCTTTCTATCTCTTTCAGGCTCTCTCAGTTGGTCTCTTTCTATATTCCTTTCTGTCTCCCTCTCTCTTTCTGTCTCTCCATCTCTCTCTCACTTCTTCCAGCTCTGCTTCTCCCTATCTTTTTTCTCCCCCTTCCCGCTGAACCTGCCTGTCAGGAATTTCAGGAAACACCCACCATAGGAGCTAACGCTGGAAAAAACAGGAATATGGCCCCCCTCCTCTTACCCACCTCAGGATCCCTGAAATCGACGAGAACTTCTGTGGCCGTAGACCTATGCACTTCCACCCTCCAAGCCCATCTCTTCGCGTCCACTACCACCGCTGTGCAGGACCAGCCACCCGGTTGCCATAGCTACCGGTCCGAGCATCCTTTCTCTTGGGACTGCCGCTTTCCAACCGCGGGTCTCGCACAGGAACGACACCACCGGGAGGGGGTGTCCAAGAGGTCCAGAGGGGTGCCAAGGGATGCACTGCAGGGGCCTCCGCCCATGGGAGGAACGGACATCCCCTTCCCCACTCCCCTCCCTTTCCAGTACTGGAATCTCCCCAGATCTTCTCTCTGAAGCTCTAAGATCCCGGAGCCCCCTGGAGCCCTCTCCCCAGGCGACGCTCACCATTTGTGGGGGCCTGAGTCGGGGTCGCCATGCCGGGCCAGAGCAGGGGGCGGCTGGATGCCGAGACAGTGAAGGCGCGGCTGCAGCAGCTGGAAGCGGGACGGACTGAAGTCGAGGGGAGATGGGCCCGCCCACTGCTGTCGTCCCCGCCCCTTCCCCAAGGGTGGGGGCGCCCCCTGCCGGGGCCAAAAGGGCGCCCAGGCTATCGCGCAGAGGGACTGACATCCACAAAGCGCTGTCCAGAGAAAAAAGCACGTTTTATTGGAAGTCTGGGCGACAGAGAGGAGTCTGTGGGGGCTGAGCTGGGTGGGGAAGAGAGCATCCGGGTGGCAGTGGGCCCGCGGTGGTGGGTGGGAGGTGTCAGGTGCCAGGGGAGTCCTGTGGGGGTGAAAAAGTGAGAGGCAGGAGAGCCTCCCCCAGCCATCCCGCCCCAGCCCTTCGCCCCCTCGTCCTCGCCCCTCCTTCCCTCAGCCTAGTCAAAGCTGCAGGACCTGGCTGGGTTCCATCGCGCCAGGTGTTTCTACCGCCTGCGGCTGGACAGACCTGAGGGGGAACACAGAGAGTTCAGATGTCAGGAGGGGTATCCCGGCTTCCGTGGAGGGGGAAGAGGCAGGGGAACTCCCCTCCCTCCGGTTTGAGATCAAGCCCCTTCCTCCTTGCGTCCAGAGAGGACCAGGAAAGGGCTTCTTGGAACCAGGACCCCCCCCCGCCCCGCACAAACACCCGAAGTATCTCCAAACTCACGGCGGATGGAGCTGCGGAAAGTTCCCTCCTCTTCATCAGGTTCTCCAGTCCTGGGAAGAGAGAAGCAGGAGCATTGGCGCTGGAAAAGGAGAGAGGCAGCCATTCCCAGGAACCCCCCAATGCAGCTCTCATGTCACAGACCGGTGTGCCCTGAGGCCAAGATGCGCGAGCAGCAGGCTAGGCTCCGCCAGAAAGTCAGGCGCACCCAGGAGCCCTTTAAGTGTGTGGCAGGAGGCGCTTCTGGAGGGTGCCTGTGAGTCCCTCCCAGAGTGCTGGGGAAGGGACTGGGGCTTGGTGGGGGAGGGATGACCCAAGGGACTAGAAGGCAGACTGCCGCGATGTGGTCTCATCTTCTAGTTGAGCAAGTGACTTGACCTCCCTGTGCCTCGGTTTCCTCATATGCAAAATGAGGTGAATAACAGCACCTCCCTCGGAGACGTGGTGTGAGGGGTAAAGAATGCAACGGTATCTGGCACATGGGATGCACACGCCCAGGAAATATGAGCTATTATTTATAATTATATCTACAATTGTTTTAACATGGAGAAGGTATCCGTCCGTTGCCTGGGTTTAAATTTTTTATTTAAAGATGAATCAAAGCGCTAGGAACAAGCCTCTGAGCTAAACTGGGCCACCAAGAGAGGTGATCTCATTTCGCCGCGTCTCTTTCCTTCACAGCACTTATCACGCTTTGCGATTTTATATTTGTGGGGCTGTTGGAACCAGCGGCTACCGCCCCCACTGGGCTGAACGTTCAGCCAGGCAGAGAAGACAGCTAATTCACTGCTGGGTCCGAGGACCTGGCTTGGGGCTTGGCCATGTACTGTAGTAGGTGCTTGATACAAATTTGCCGAAGGGCCTCTGGCTGCGGGTTGGATGGATTTTCCGCCTCACCCCCAGCGCCCTGGTAAAGCAGGAGCAGGTGAATGAGTGACGGGAGGGTCTCTTACCTCTGTTGCTGGTTGAATTTGCACCGGCACTTTCTGCCTGTGGGTGGGTAGTGGGGAGAAGACAGGGCTGAGAGTCGGCTTTCCGCCGACACCGAGGGGCGCTGTTACTCCAGCTGGGGCTCGCGAGGGGCGGAGCCGCGGGGACAGGGGCCGGACCGAGGGCGGGGGGATAGAGGCAGAAAGGGCGGGTCCTGGGTCGGGGCTAGAACCGGGTGGGCGGATGGTGGGAACAGGGCGGGGCTGGGGCGGAAACGGGCAGAGTCAGGGCTGGGGTCAGTGGTATACGGGTACTCACTCAGGATGATGAGGATGCCTAAGATGAAAAGGACCCCGGCGATGGTGAGGCCTCCAATCCGCAGGGATTGGTAGTCTATGGGCAGCAGGAGGAGGGTGAGGGCAGGGAAGGAAAGAGGAAGGATCGGAGAGGGGCAGAATGAGGAGGAGGGGGCAAGGAAGAAGGATGGGGAGGAGGAAAGGAGGAAAAGATCAATGAGAATAAGGAGCAGATACGGGAGGAGGGAGGAGGTGGCTCAGGGAATTGAGAGGGAAGGAGGTGGCCAGTGCAGGGAGGAGGGAGGAAACGAGGAAGCAGGGGAGGATGATGGAGAGGATGACGGGGGCAGAGGGAAGCAAAGATGGGCCGCGAGATACTCACAGGTAACAGGAAAGAGAGAATCAGAGAGAGAGAAAGGGATCGAATGGAGAGACAGAGACACACAGAAAGAGACAGAGAGAAGCAGACGAGGGGAGGTCAAGAAAGAGTCAGAGAGCCAGATCAAGAGAAAGAGACAGAGAATGAGAGATATAAACACTGAGAGAGAGAGAGAGAGGAGAGAGA